TCAATTGTCAAAGGATTGAAAGTAGATTCTATAATCCTATAAAAGAGAGTTCCGGCAGCTTCTCCAACAGGAATCTAGAAATATTTGGTATCTTGGAAATCATTTTGGTCTATTGTTCTACTCTCTTCGTTCTTCTATAACAATCTTGCTTCCTCCCGGAAGAAATGGCAACTTTCATGAGCTTAATTTTTGCACTGTTACTCTCATATCCTATTTGCAAAGCGCTTGGTCTATTTCTCCTTGCGGTTCTATTGGCTTTTGTTGCACTTATTTTATTTTATTTTTTTAAATATATTTTATTGATTTTTTTACAGAGAGGAAGGGAGAGGGATAGAGAGTTAGAAACATCGATGAGAGAGAGAGACATCAGTCAGCTGCCTCCTGCACATTCCCTGATGGCGATGTGCCCGCAACCAAGGTACATGCCCTTGACCGGAATCGAACCTGGGACCCTTGAGTCTGTAGGCCGACTATCCACTGAGCCAAACTGGTTAGGGCTGCACTTATTTTAATGGTCTGTTGTTAGGCTCATACACATTCAGAATTGTCAGGTCTTCTTGGAGAATTGACCCCTTTATCAATGTGCCCCTTTTTATCCCTGATAATTTTCCTTGTTCTGAAGTCTGCTTTGTCTGAAATTCATATATCTACCCTCACCTTCTTTTGATTAGTGTTAGTATGGTATCCCTTTCTCCATCCGTTTAATTTTAAGCTTTCTGTTTAAAGTGGTTTCTTGCAGAAAACATAGTTGGGTCATGTTTTTTTGTTCACTTTGACTACCAAACTGACAAAAAAAATTGGTGTTTTCGAGCATTCATATTTAAAGTGGTTATTGATATAGTTGGCCTAATATTTACCATGTTTGTAACTGTTTTCTATTTGTTGTACTTGTTCAATATTTTCTCCCTGCCTCTTTTCTGGTATATCAATTATACTTCTTTTTAAACTTTTTTTAGTAATTACTCTTGAGTTTCTAATACATATTTCCAACTAATCTAAGTCTACTTTACAGGTGGTACAAGTACTTTATAACAGAGTATTCCCAGCTCCTCCCTCCTATCCCTTAAAACATTGCTACTATTTATTTTATCCAATACATTGTTACTATTATTACTTTGAACCGTTATCTATTAGATAAATTAAGAATAAGAAATAAAATATTTTAACTTCATTTATTCCTTCTTTTGGGCTCTTCCTTTATGTAGATTCAAGTTTATGATATATATTATTTTCCTTCTCTCTGAAAAAATTATTTTAACACTTCTTACAGAGCAGATCTGCTGAAAATAAATTCCCTCTCTTTTTTTTCTTTATTGTTCCTTGACTTTTAAAGGATAATTTTGCGAGATAACAAATTTCAGGTTTGTATTTTGTTGTTTTTCCCAACACTTTAAATATGTCACTCCACTCTCCTCTTGTTTGCATGGTCTCTGATGAGAATTTTGATGTAATTCTTATCCTTCCTCTACAGGTAAGGCGTTTTCCCCTCTGGCTTCTTTCAAGATTTCCTGATTGTTTTTTGAGTTTGAAAACAACATATGTAGTTGTAGATTTGGGGGCATTTATCTTACTTGGTTTTCTATGAGCTTCCTGCATTTGTGGTTTGGGGTCTGTCATTAATTTTGGAAAATTCTCAGACATTATTGCTTAAAATATTTCTTGTGTTCCATTCTTTTTCTCCTCTCCTTCTGGTATTTCAACTACATACATGTTACATCTTTTGAAATTGTCTCACATTTCTTACATGTTCTATTCTGTGTGTTTTTTCCTTTGCATTTCAATTTAGGAATTTTCTATTGATATATCTCAAACTCACTGATTCTTTCCTTGGGACCATATGTAGTCTACTGACAAGTCCATCGAAAGCATTCTTTCTTTTCATTACTGTTTTTCATTCCTAATATTTCCTTTCGATACTTTTTTTCTTTTCTAAAAAATTTATCTTTATTGTTAAAAGTATTACAAATGTCCCCCTGTTCTGCCCGCCCCCCGCCTTTCTTCGAGTTTCCACCTCTCTGCTTACATTACCTACTTGCTCTGCATGTTGTTAACTTTTTCCATTAAACCCCTTGCCATATTAATCACAGTTATTTAAAATTCCCTGTCTGATAATTACAAAAGCTATGCCATAGCCAAGTCGGATTCTGATATATATATATTGATTTCAGAGAGGAAGGGAGAGGGAGAGGGAGATAAAAACATAAATGATGATAGAGAAGCATTGATTGGCTGCCTCCTGCACGCCCCCTACTGGAGATCAAGCCCATAACCTGGACATGTGCCCCTGACCTGAATTGAACTGGGGACCTTTCAGTCCATGGACCGATGCTCTATCCACTGAGCCAAACCAGCTAGGGCCTTGCTTTGTTTCTTTAGACTACACTTGTACTTGCCTGTTAATAGTATTATCAATGAGGAGCTCTCTGTGTCCCCACCTGTGGCCAGTGGAAGTGGGCTCCTTGCAATGTCACAAGAAAAGGAATTTTCTGAGGCTTGCATAGGAAAATGAGTGATATTTATTGGTGTGGGATTAAATTCCTGAGTTTCCAAGGTTCCCTCTCCCTCCATCCTGCCATGGAAGAAGTCCAGCTGTGTTATCAGCAGAGCTAGGATGAGAGGTGTTGTCCATTCCATATTTGCACAGTCCAGTCCAGTATCAGGCTAGCTTAACTTGTGTTCCCAGCTGCAGCCCAGTAAGTGTGGGGTCCACATGGCCATGGGCCATGCAGATTCTAGGGCCACATGGCTATGGAGGTAACATGGGTGAGTACAAGGAAGCAGGAGCAAAGCCAGAGGAACAAGAGAGAGAATCCCTTTGTCTGAGATTTTAAGATTTCATGAGCTTGCAGTGGCTCCACCCTCTCTAGCCAATTATCTTTGTTCCAGGTTAGACTGACAAGCACCTTCCCTACTTCACCCCAACTTTACTGAGCATGTATCAGTCTTCCCCTTTGTCGGGTCCCTTCCTCCAGTGATCTGCAGGGAATGGACCAGTGGTTCCCTGGGGAGTGTGAAATTGCAGCTTCCTGGGGAAGGTGCCCAGATGGTCATGCTTATAATGTCTGGCTTTCCCTTTGCTCCTTATTATCCTTATATAATAAAAGGCTAATATGCAAATTGACTGAATGGCAGAATGACCAGTCACTATGACGGGCACTGACCACCAGGGGGCAGATGTTCTACGCAGGAGCTACCCTCTGATGGTCAGTGCTCTCCCACAGGGGGAGCGCCGCTCAGCCAGAAGGCCGTGCACCGGGTTCTAATTATTAATAACTAGCTACTTACAACAGTAACAATGGGTCTTGTAATTTTTGGTTAAAATCCAGTTATCATGTATCTGGTATGGGAACTGAAGTGAATTGGCTTTTAAGGTCAGGTTTTATGTTAATCTGTTTAGGAGCTGTGTTTAATGTTTGCGATACAGGTAGATATCAGAGGCTTCAATTTCCTTCAGAGTCTTTCTTTTCTTTGGATTTTCCTAAAAAAACTTCTTATATAGAGACTGCACCCTGCAGATCTTTTAACTGTAACCCAGTTATTTTACTGGAGCCCTGTAGATGTGGTGGTAAGGTGAAGGGTAAGGGGCAGCATTCTATAATCTTGTTTCAGTCTTTAGTGGGCTTGTGTCCTTGGGCTGTGACCTTCACAAGTATTTCTTATCCTTTCCCCCATTGGAAGAAACAGGAAGGCTAGGAGGAGCTGGGATTGGGGTAATGCCCCCCGCCCCATATCTCTGACTAGTCTCCCCCCCCCCCCCCCCAACCTTCCCCCTGCTGAGTAGGCCTCTTTCTTATGAAAGAAGACTGGGTATATTTAAGAAATGGTTTCTTTTCTTCTCCTCTGCCAGAAACATGAGGGTTTTTTCATTGTCTCTTCACCTTGAGAATCTGGTGAGGTTTCTGGAGGGAAATCCATGGACATGTTGTTCCCCTAAGACTGCAGCTCCCAGGAGGTTCTCACTCACACACTAGTCCATACTCAACCTCTGATAACTTGTCAAAGTTACTGTTTAAATGTTCTTATCAGCTTAAGGCTCCAGGGGCTTCTGTCTCCAGGAAAGCTAATCTTGGCTGTAACTCTGTATTTGCCTGTCTCTCCTGATTCTTGGGGGAAGTTTGCCCTGCAATCTCAATTCTCTGATGACTCCAAGAAAAGTAATAGATTTTCAGTCTATTCAGTGTTTGTTTGTTTTTTTGTAAGAATATGAGTGACAATTTTCAAGTTCTTTGGTTAGATTTTTAAAATTTATTTTAGAAATTGCCTTTCAAGGCTTTCTTAATGTTCCTTGATCTACAATTTCTACTTCTACACCCACTCCACTGGAGGACTCTAAGAACTGAGTTTCCTTTATGACTTGTGAGGACAATATCATTAGTGAATAGATTCTAACTAAGCAAGTCATCTTAATATTCACAAACACATATAAAAGGCAGGGTGTGGAAGTTAGGCCATCACCTGCAACCTGGACCTGGCTTCAAAGCCAGCCATCTGTTTGTTCATTGATGGCAGCTGGTATAACAGGAAGAACTTGGGAAGGAAATTAGCAAACCCAGTTGAAGTTCATACTCTGTCATTAACTGGGTGAACTGGAGTGAGTCACTTAACGATTTTTGTTGAGCCTCAGTGTCACTAGCTATAAAATTGGAATAAGGACATTGGCATTTAGGCTTCCACCAGTTTTGGGGGGAGATCACAACTTGTCTGAGCTTCCATTTCTGCGCCTGTTACAATGAAGTCTTGTGCCCTCGTCACCTCACAGTTGTTGTTGTTGTTGTTGTTGTTTTGGGGGGGGCGAGAAGCGGGGGCGAGAGGGAGAAGGCACAACCTTTCTGAGCGTCAATTTCTAAGAACACACAGCCAGCCCGCCAATAAAATTCCTGGAAAAACAGAGGGAAAGGAACAGAACATTTTTGCAAAATGCGGAGGGTTCTACCAATGTGAATTGACTCATATTTAAAAACACAACAAACTGACTTAAAAAGCGTTGATGCGTCTCTTACCTTCTGGTTCCAGCATTACTACCCCATTGCAGAAATCAAGAACACTTTTGAAAAAAAAATTTCGCCCGCCTGTGTTCCCACCTGCGCGCTGGCCACACCCCGCAAGGCTGGGACAGGGCGGTGGGGGCGTGGCCTAGCCGGCCTGCCCAACGCGACGCCCCGCCCTGTCGCGCCCGCGCCTGCGCCGTACGCACCGACCGCTGTCGAGCGCCCGGGTGGGAGGTAAGGGGCTCGCGGGAGGCCGCCTGCGGGGCGTCAGGCCCGGATCCTCAGGGTGGGCTGGGCGCGCGGGAGAGGCGCCCCGCGAGAGCCGGGCTTCCTGTCGTATATGCCAGCGTCGTGGGGACGCCTCTCGGCGCCGAGAAGTGGCGGTTTCGTTTTTAGAAGCACTCACCGCAGCGGGTGTGGAGAGGCGGCCGACGGGACGAGCGTGACGGCCTCCCGAGGTCGGGGGTGGAAAAGTTCCCGGCGTCTGCCCTGCCCGTGACGCACTGTGGGCGCCAGGCCCTCAGGGTCCCCGGCGTCTCGGACCCGAGCCCGGCCCGCGCATCCGTTCCCTGGTGGGGGGCAAGTGGGGGGCTGGCCCAGGTGCGCCGTGGGGGACACTGCGAGGGGGGACGCGAGGTTCGCGGTGCTGAGGGGTCGGAGCCTCCTGGCAGCCCGACCGGGAGGTGTTGCACTGCAGGTTCCCCGTCCGACTCGCCCCTTTTGCACCTTCGGAACCCGAGGCTCCGAGAGGAGACCATACGGTAGGACCCACGGCCCTGACTTCCCAGATTGGGCACCCCTTCCCGCAGTCAGAAACTCGGGGCCACCAATGGGGGCGGGGGGGCTGGGTATCTAGGCTGCTGGAAGGTGTTGGTCACTCTTGAGGTGGGTGGGGCGGTGTTCCAGAGATTTTGGATTTTTTTTTTCCCTCTGAGAAATGGGCTTTTAGATACAAATAATCTTTTAAGTGATTTAGTTAACTCCCGGCGCTTTTTCCTCGAGGGAAGCCTGAGCATCATGGTGCTCAGCTGATGGAGTTAAGTGTGAAAGATAAAGTTTGTAGCTGGAGACCCTCCCCCCGAGTGTTTGTGCCGTGAAAGGTTGCAGTTCTTTGGCTTCTAAGTGTTTGCCCTGTTTATGTAGAACATCAGTTTACTTAAAAAAAATACACACACACACACTGAGTGGCCAGATTGTTATGACCACCCCATCAGTACAATGAAGTGAATTAGTTATGCAAATAATAATAATAAAACCTTGAGAGTATTTGCTTAGGAAGTTTTCAATATTCAGTATTTTTGGAAGTGTCAATGAAGTACTGATGGGGTGGTCATAATAATCTGGCCACTCAGTGTGTGTGTGTGTATATATATATTTAAAGCCTTTTTTTAGAAAAAAATACTTATTTTGACATAATTTTACAAATATAGAAAAGCTACAAAAATAATACAGAGTCCTCTACAGCTTACTTTAATGTTAACACCTGCATAACTGGAACAATGATCCAAAGTAAGGAATTAACATAGGCCCAATTCTATACCAATTTTCTTCAAATTTCCATCATTTTTTATACACATGACCTTTGTACCAGGAACCAATGTAAGGTCCCACATTGCCTTTAGTTGGCATGGCTCCTTAGTCTCCTCCACTCTGTGACCGCTCAGTCTTTTTCTGTCTTTCATGATCTTTATGCTGTAGAAGAATGCTGGTCAGTTATGTTGGCAGTTGGGTTTTTCCTGAAATTTTCTCATGATTAAGGTTGTGCATTTTTGTTGATACCCCAGAAGCATATGTGCCCTTCTCGGTTCATCATTTATGATATAACACACTGCATTTTATATTACTTTTGATCGTTTAGTTAAGGTTGTGTCTGCTGGGATTCTCTAATGGAAAGCTACTATGTACTTTACATAGGGAACTTTGTGAACAATTCATATCCTGGGAGAGAACTTGTAAACTATGCAGACATCCTGTTTCTCCTCAAACTTTCACTTTCTGATTTTAGCATCCATCAATGGATCTTGCCTTCAGTAATTATTATTGTAATGGTATGATGGTGACTTTCTGTTTCCCTCATTTCTTCATTTATTAATTTAAGTTCTTCTTAAGGAAAAGCTGCCCTTCCCATTTATTTATGTGATATTCAGTTATTTATTAGTGTCAGTATGGATTCATTCATTTTTCTATTGTTTATTCTACACTGTTGTCATTTATTTTAGGCTCAAATTGTTCCAGCTTTGGCCTTTGGGAGTTTTTTCAGTTGCTTGTTGTGCCCCTTTGATAAACCTCTATCCTTTTTTTTTTTTTTTTTTTTTGAGAATTTCTGGCACCATAAGATGCTCTAGGCTTATCTTGCCCCAGCCCTGGAATCAACCACTTCTCCAAGGATCCCTGGTTTTTTGTTTGTTTATTTGTTTTTTAGAGTGTTATTTAAACACCAAGATCTAGATTAGGCAATAGGAATGCTCATTGCTATTGGGGTATCATTACTTCTAGTGCCTGGCATATATATCCTCCTATCTAATAAAAGACAAAAAGGGTAATTAACTGTACCTCCGCTACGCTTCCCATTGGCTAATCAGCGAGATATGCAAATTAACTGCCAACAAAGATGGCGGCCGGCAGCCACGCAGCTGAAGTGAGCAGGAGGCTTGCTTGCTCCAGTGATGGAGGAAGCCAAGGTTCCCCGCCTGCCGTGGCCCGGCTCTGAGCTCTGAAAGCAACAGCTCCAAAAGCAACAAAGTTTCAATTATAGAAGCTAAACAAATCCCAGATACCTGCTTTCAGCAGGCCACCGCCTCAGAGCTGGGAGTGCCAGTGACGGCAACAGAGTTTCAATTATAGAAAGTAAATAAATCCCAGAATAAAAGAAAAAAGGAGAGGCTGGGAGCTTCAGTTGCCGGCCAGCCTGAAAACGGCCCTCAGCCCCTCATCCAGTCTGGCCAGGCACCCCAGTGGGGACCCCCACCCTGAAGGGGTGTGACCAGCTGCAAACAGCCATCAGCCCCTCACCCAGACTGGCCAGGCACCCAAGCGGGACCCCCACCCTGATAGGGGACACCCTTCAGGGCAAACCAGCCAGCCCCCACCCGTGCACCAGGCCTCTATCCTATATAGTAAAAGGGTAATATGCAAACTGACCCTAACAGCAGAAAGACTGGGAATGACTGGTCACTATGACACACACTGACCACCAGGGGGCAGACGCTCAATGCAGGAGCTGCCCCCTGGTGGTCAGTCCACTCCCACATGGGGGAGCTCTGCTCAGCAACAAGCCAGGCTGACGGCTAACAGTACAGCGATGGGGGTGGGAGCCTCTCCTGCCTCCACAGCAGTGCTAAGGATGTCCGACTGCAGCTTAAGTCTGCTCCCCGCTGGCAAGTGGACATCCCCCCGAGGGTTGCCGGGCTGCCAGAGGATGTCTGATTGCTAGCTTAGGCCCAATCCCCCAGGGAGCAGGCCTAAGCAGCAGGTGGTCATCCCCTGAGGGGTCCCAGACTGCGAGAGGCACAGGCGGGCTGAGGGACCCCCCCCCCCAGTGCATAAATTTTTGTGCACCCGGCCTCTAGTGTGTATATATATATATATATATACACACACACACACACACACACACACGTAAGCTATTTATATATGGAGATATATATACAGTATGGGGATATATATATAAATCTATATACACATATATCCAGGCATACACAAAGATTTATATTTATTTTTATATATAGACATCTATGTATATATATATCTGTATATATATATTCTGTTTATATACATATATATTTTATAAAAACAAGTTTATTCTGATACCTCTGATTCTACTCTAACACCACAGGATTCATTCTGTTCTCGCCCCTTACTTGTAATTTCTTTCTTTGACAGCAAGAAATCTGGTTTCCATATTCTACAAAATATTTTATTTGTTCAATCCTAGTAGATACATAATTTCAGTATTTCTAATATAAATGTTAGACAAATAGTTGATAATTTATAAGTCTATTATATGTTAAATATAATAAGAAAAACATACCTGGTAGTAAAACCAACATTTCACATGAGCTGGCATTTCATGAAAGAAGACATTCAAATGGATACTAAATCAATCCCATTAGTAATTTAAGAATCTCTCTATATAAAAGCCTAAGCAACCTTTCTGACCTAACTACCAGAATGACTGGAATGACCAGTTGACCAGTCACTGACACGCACTGACCACGAGGGGGCAGATGCTCAATGCAGGAGCTGCCCCCTGGTGGTCAGTGTGCTCCCACAGACAACCTCCTGCAGCCAGCCAACCTCCCGCAGTCCTTCCCCTGGCCAGCCCTGATCACCAGCCAGGCCTAGGGACCCCACCTGTGCACGAATTTGTGCACCGGGCCTCTAGTTGAAAAATAAAATAAGAATGAGATACCATTTTTGTGACCAGTTAAATGTCTAAGAAGAATGATAATAGCAAATATTAAATCAATAAATGGGCATTTTGATGTGTTGTTGCTAGTGGGAATGTCAATAGGCACAACCTTTTTAAGGACATTTGGTATCAAACATTCTAAAAAATGTGTATACCTACTAATTCTATTTCAAGGTATTTAACTTAAAGATGTAACAATAGATGGTATTTTGGTGTATGTGTAAGGAGGGTAATTACACTGTGGCATAGTTTATAATGGTGGAAAATTAGAAACAACCTATGTAGCCAACTATAGATGATTAGCTAAATTATAGAACATCTGTGCCAAGTAGTACCATGTGTTATAAAAAGATGCATTGTAGCCCTGGCCAGTGTAACTCGGTTGGAGTGTCATCTCATACACCAAAGGGTGGCAGGTTCGATCCCCAGGCAGGGCACATACCCAGGTTGTGGGTTCAATCCCCAGTTAGGGTGAGTGTGGGAGGCAACCAATCGATGTCTCTCTCTCACAATGTTTTTTTTTTCTCTCTCTTCCCTCCCTCCCTAAAATCAATTAAAAAACAAAAACAAAAAACATATCCTCTGGTGAGAATTAATAATAAGGAGATACATTGTAGAAAAATAATAATTTTAATGGAAACATTTTTATTATACATAGGTTATTTAAAATAGACCCTTTCTTTAAACCCTTTCTTTATTCATTTTATTTATTTATTTACCCAGTAACAGAATTCTTTATTATATTGATTGCTCTTTGCCATTCCACTCTGTTGAGTTTATTTTCTTTATTGTTTAAGTATGCACTTTAGTAGTTCTTTTAATAATGTGCTTGGTAATGAACTCAGTCTTCATACATCTGGTAATTATTATTTTACCTTCACTTCTAAATAATAATTTCCTTGGGTATATACCAACTCCCTTAGCACTTTGAAGATATTCCTGTCTTTTGATATCCTGCTTTGATGAAAAGTTTGCTGCTTTTATTGGTTTAGTTTATCTATCTTTTATCTTTGATTTGCTTTTTAAGATTTTTCTCTTTGTCCTTGATGTTCTGCAATTTCCCTTCCATGTGTTCAGGTAAATTCATTTTTTTCTATTTATGCTACTTGGGGCTTATGTACATCTTCAATTTGAGGTCCTACATTCTAATTTTTAGCATATTCTCTTTGAATAATGAATGCCTCTTCACCACTTTACTCTTTCCTTATGGGACTCCTATTGGTTATTGAGCTTCTCATTTTATCCTTTAGGTCCCTAATTTTCTGTTTATATTTTATACCTCTTTATTCCTCTGTGTTCTGACTGATATCTTCAGCTATAGTGTTGAAGTTTTTGAGTAAAAATTTTTAAGTAGACTTTTTATTTGGTTTATTTTTATTTTTATTTATTTTTTTAAAAATATATTTTATTGATTTTTCACAGAGAGGAAGGGAAAGGGATAGAGAGTTAGAAACATCGATGAGAGAGAAACATCGATCAGCTGCCTCCTGCACGCCTCCTACTGGGGATGTGCCTGCAACCAAGGTACATGCCCCTGACCGGAATCGAACCCGGGACCCTTCAGTCCGCAGGCTGACGCTCTATCCACTGAGCCAAACCGGCTAGGGCTTGGTTTATTTTTAGTTTGGCCTGTTACTGTTTCATAACATCTAATTTTAAAAAAGATTATATTCTTTCCTTTTTATCTTTGAATATTTTTTAATGTACCTATTTTAATTTTCTTTTTAGAATGCTTTATCATTTTTAGTCCCTTAGTGAATTTTTCTGTGTTGTTGGGTTTGAGGGCTAACTCTTTTGGCAGTTAACTTCTCCGTGTGTCTCCAATTCCCGCTCACTACTGTAGGGCTCATTATTGGTGTCTAGAGATTTTCCTTTTTTTGCTTTTGAACTTAGATCAAACATTAAATTCAAATTACAAGTAAATAAGATAGTCTATATAACCAACACTTCAAAATTTTCAACTGTGAAAGAAAGAAACAGAACATTACTTAGAATAATGGTTCTTAATGTTTCTGGAGTGATAGATCTCTTTGATAATCTCATGAAAGCAATGGACTCTATCCTTTAAAATAACTCAAAATACATACACAATTTTTCATAAAGATTCAGTGATTCCACAAAGTCTTTTTGTGAACCCTTGTCTCTATGGACCCTGGTCTAAGACACAATAACCCAATGGAATTAACATGGTCAATTAAATTTTTTTTAAATATGGAAGAGGTTGTGGCTAATGAGATGGCATGGAACTGTGGTGCACAACAGTGGTTTTAAAGCTTGGTTAAGCAGTGGAGCTCTTTATTTATGTAAAATCTAATAAACTCAAGTTTATAAAATAGACATAAGTAAATTTTCTCCAATTAGAGTAGGCGTGGGATCCTGGAGCCTGCTCACTTGCCAATCCCTGCTCTCTTCTACCCTGGCCTCAAAGGCATACCCTTGGATTTTATGGAATACTGGCAGTAACCTCTTGTGAATTCGAAAGAGCATTTGATTGTATGCTAAGGAATCCTGGTTCTTATTCCAGCTGTGTCACTAATTTTTTTGTATTGGTTATAGACAATGCTAATCACTGTAAGAAAGGGAAGAGGCAATTAAAGGACATTGATGAGAAGAGTTACGTACTATGTTATAGTATATAATTACATAGGTACATTATGATAACATTAAAGTGAAGTTTGATATAAGCAGAAACGTTAAAAATGAATTTTTTCCTCCAGTTTTACCACTTGACACCTTTTTCAAAAAGGTTATTCAATGTCCAAGATACATTGAGAAATATAAACTTGGGCAGTATACTCCTAGTTTTTAAAAGAAGGTATTTACATACATATATACATATACGTGTGTGTGTGTGTGTGTGTGTGTGTGTGTGTGTGTGTGTGTGATGTGCACCATGGTTCCATGCCATTTCATTTTTTTAAGACCTGGAAAGACATACATCAAAATAGAAGCAGTAGGTAATTAATTATGGGTGAGCAGATGGTTGTTGATTTTATTTTTTATATTTTCTAAACATTCTAAAGGAAATATACATTACTTTTGATCATAGAAAAAGGTTTTAAAATAAAAGGTTTCTTGAAAAAAGTCACTGAAGTTCATCATTAAGTTGAATATGCATTTAGAATAAATTATAAAATTACCTAATAGGAACTCATTTGAAAACATTCTTAAATATTTTCCTTTTAGGTTTTTCTATATGAGTAGAGAAGACAGTTGTTGCAAGTAAAAGACAACATTTTTTAGGATGTCTGACGATGAAGAAAAAGTGAAATTACGCCGTCTTGAACCAGCTATCCAGAAATTCATTAAAATAGTAATCCCCACAGACCTGGAGAGGTTAAGAAAGCACCAGATAAATATTGAGAAGGTAATTTTTTCCATTTCTACCACAAAAAATCATGTACATATTAGATTTATATTTGTTGTACATTTTAGCTAAATTCAGAATATTAAATAAGCTTTGCTAAAACATCTCTCTTCTATTGATTTAGCAACATTCCTTCATCTGTGCTTTTGTTGTTGTTGTTCTGCAAATACCCCTCTCATATTCTTTTTTTAGGAAGGGATATAAGAATAGGATCTGCATCTTTTTAGTTGTACATACTGACATATTAAGCAGTTAATAATTAAAATACAAACAATTTGATAATGCACTAAAATGTGAAGGTGGCAGACTTTGGCTAAGGGGCCTATCTTAATTTCATTCATCTCATGGCAAATTTTTTGAACCTTGAATGTGTGTCTATCAGTCACTCCTAATCTCTTCAGGTGCATTAAAGAGGCAAATCATTATGTGATATGAGGGAATTTCCCAACTTCACTGCTTTGAGGAAAGCCCCAAATTTAGAAATATTGCCTAGAGGTCAGTTTAGGAGATAGGTAGAGGAAAGAACTAGTCTCAGGGACTACGGTGGAGGTTGCATAGAACCTGGACTGGCCAGGGTCTGGTGGAATGATTGTGGCATTTATGGGAACATCAGGTTTATTCAGTACTGAGCATTGATTTTGATAGGTTATATTGTCTTTATTTGCTGTGGGGCAGATTAGTGGTATTTTCTCCTTCAAAAGAACCTTCCCCACTATAAATTTTAAGCTGTGTGCCCCTCTGTTGATCTGGGGTAGAAGTGATCATTAAGCCTTTATCAAAAATATTTATCACCCTCAACTGACTACCTTATACAAGTTATAAGAGCGTCAGTTCCTCCATATATATCTGTCTTCCTAGTATTTAAGTATTTTTTTAAAGTATAGGAAATAAATAGCCCAGCCAGTGTGGCTCAGTTGGTTGAGAGTCGTCCCATGCACCAAGAGGTCGCAGATTTGATTCCCAGTCAGGGCACATGTCAGGGTTTCAGGCTCGACCCCCAGTAGAAGGTGTGCAGGAGGCAGCCAATGGATGTTTCCATCTCTCTCTCTCCCTTTCCCTTTCTCTCTTAAAAAAAAAATCAATAAAAACATATTTTTTTAAAAAGCATAGAAAATAAGTACCAAGAATATTACAATGAAAATTTCCATACAAATATGAAGGTATATAATGGGGTGAAGGCCTGGTGGGGGTGAGGTTTGGGGCTGGGTGGAGGAGGGCAAATGGGAGGAAAATGGGGGACATCTATAATAGTGTCAGCAATAAAAAAACAAAAACAAATATGAAGGTATCTAAAATTCAAGATTCATATTTTGTCATCCCTTAATTTCTGTTTTATTCATAAGCAATAAGTACTATGGCTTTTAAATAAATCTTCACCCAAGGCTATGTTTTAGAGAGAGAGAGAGAGAGAGAGAGAGAAACAAACATCTATGTGAGAGAGAAAAACGTTGATTCTGTGCCCCAAATGGGGATTGAACCCACAACCTAGGTATGTGACCTGACTGGAATCCAACTCACAACTTTTTGGTGCATGGGATGACACTCCGACCAATGGAGTCACCTGGGGCAGTTCTATGACTTTTAAGGATGGGGGAGTTCTCCAGTAAACTGGTTATTCTGGTCATGAGCAGGAACAAATTAAAGGGTTCCATGCTTTGTTTAATTAGGAAGGCTCATTCTTTTAGTACTATAACAGTATAGAAATAGAATTGTTTACTTTTGATTGATTGGTTGTTTACTTTTGATTGATTGGTTCAAATTCCTGAGCTCATTTTGAAGTGCTTTGTTATAAAGATGACAAGAATTTGGCAGAATTGATTATGAAAGGCAGAAATAAGTAGACTATGTCTACTGAGACCATTTTTTCTCTTTATTGTCCTATTTTACATTTGAGGTTTGGCATGTTTTAGATTTCCTTTTTCTTATATTTATTCTATTTGAAAGTGCCTGCTGTCATTATCCTCAGAGCTTAAACACATGTATCATCCAGTCATCAGTGAAAAAGTCAGGACCCTGAGAGAAAGCTGGGTTGGGATAGGAATGGGTCTATTACTGACTTGGTTAGTTGTACCAGACTTCATAAGAAAATTATTCTAGAGTTATATTGAATGTTCTTTGCCAGAACAGTTTTTCTCTAGCTTTTTGTAAAATTTTTACTTACTGTGAAAATGTTAGACAATATCAGAATAATTATAATTTACAATATAAGTGATATTGTCTGAAGCTAAACAGTTAAACTCATATTGATCTATGTTTATTCCATGCTCTTGATCATTTTACTTATTCTAGGATTTCTAGTTTAGTTATGAAAGTGATTTGGTATCTATATAAGATTGAATAGCATAACTTAATAGATAGTTTATGGCAATGTAAAATTATATAAAAGCAGCAGTGTTCACTGTGGACAAAAGAGTTAAGAACTAATTTTGGACTTCAGGTGTCTAATGGTGCCTCACTTTCAAAAAGGCATATTCTTCCTAGGTGAAGAGTGTAGAAAGATAAAATATTTATTATGTTAGCCATCAGTCATCCAATATGAATTTAAAAGAAGAAAGTCAGACTGAAGGGAAATTGAAGGTAAGCCTTAGTGGAGTGATTCTGCAATATCTGAAAACAATGAGAGTAGTGTGCTGTGGACACCTGGGACTATATTCCATAGGTCCTTCAGCATTACATTTTATTATACGTGATAGATTTGATTAGCATTCAACTTTTTTGGCTAATGTAAGATAGACTTAAGAGTAGTGAGTACGAACAACAAGCTTGGAACATAAATTTTTTTGTTTCATATTATAGGGATTTGAGGGAAAACTTATTGTGCAGCATGTACTGATTTATTAGTCTATGGTTAGCATGCAAGTTTGCAGGAAACTCCAAAATAGCGTAGGAAATAAGACAGAAGTTTTCGTTTTTGCTTTTATTTTTAATCTCATAGAGACAGTCTAGGACTACAGTGGCAGCTCAAAAGTCATTAAAGACCCCAGCTCTTTTTTTTTTTTAATGACTTTTCCCTATTTTTGCATTGCATTTTTTAAAAAATATATTTATTGATTTTACAGAGAAGAAGGAAGAGGAATAGAGAGTTAGAAACATCGATCAGCTGCCTCCTGCACACCCCATACTGGGGAGGTGCCCGCAACCAAGGTACATGCTCTTGACCGGAATCGAACCTGGGACCCTTCAGTCTGCAGGCTGTAGCTCTATCCACTGAGCCAAACTGGTCAGGGCGACCCCAGCTCTTTTTAACTCACTGTTCAATTCCCAACTTATTTCTATCTTTTTTTTTAGAGAGAGAGGGGAAGGAAGAGAGAGAGAGAGAGAGAGAGAGAGAGAGAGAGAGAGAAGAAAACCACATTAATGTGAGAGAGAAACACCAATTGGTTGCCTTCTGCATGCACCCCAACTGGGGTTTGAACCTGACTGGGAATCGAACCACCACCCTTTGGTGTGCAGGACAACATTCCAACCAACTGAGCCACACTGGCCAGGACAACTTGCATATGAAATGGCAGCTGCAGCTCCAGCTCTTACATTCCAGCTAAGATGAAATAATGAGAATCATATTCTTTGTTTTTCTTTTTTCTCAGTAGTCTCTCAATTCTCTCTCTCTCTCTCTCTCTCTCTCTCTCTCTCTCTCTCTCTCCCTCTCTCCCCCTCCCTCCCTCCCTCCCTCCCTCCCTCCTTGCTAGTATGTTTAAGTTTGGGTAGGTGACTGGGGATTTTTGTGGTAGCTAGTAATGATAGCTTTACTGATAAAAAAATTTTGTTCCTTTTCTCTCTCTCTTGTGTAGTATCAGAGATGCAGAATCTGGGACAAGTTGCACGAAGAGCATATCAATGCGGGACGTACAGTTCAGGTAAGGCTATGTTTCTAGTAAATCAATTTCAACAAGACAGACTTAAGAAAATTTTGTTAAAATGAATACCCTTGTAGCTGAATCCTTTTATGCATATTGAGAACTATTTCCTTAAGGATTTATTTCTACCAGGAATTACTGAATGAAATGTCATAAATATTTTTAGCATTTTGGTTCATATTATCAAAATTTCCTCCAGAAATGATATATCAACTTACATTCCCACAATCATGGTATTTTCCAAAAATCTTGCCAACATTGATATTTCCCATTTCTCAAATTTTTGCTAATTAGTAGATTAAAATAATGTTGCATTTTTCTGTTTTAATCTGGAATTTTTCTTTTATTGCTTTGAAATGTGAAAGGTTTTTTTCATATACTTCTTGGATGGTAATATTTCTTTTGTAAATTGCCTGTTCATGTTCCTTGCATATATTATGTTGTCTTTTGTGAGAGTTTCTTCTAATTTGAAAATATTGATCTCTCTGTAATATTTTTGAATTAATATAGTGTTATGATTATTCTTTGCTAGTTATTGGCTTTTTAATAAATAAATTTTAATTATTTAAAATTGATTTTTAAAAATAATATGTTTACACAGTTAAAAGCCAAATAAAATTAAAAGTCTAATAAAACCCTTCCCTTATCCATCTCCAAGTCCTACTTGGAAGAAACAGCCTTTAATCATTTGGGTCATTTTCTCTGTTTTTTTTAAACTCTATTCCTAAATACAGTGTGTAGACTGGTATTTCTTAATCAGGTTTAGGCATGATCTCTTCACTTCTTGCCATAATAGGTGGAGACCTAGCTTTCCACCTTGCTCTTTACTTGTCTCCCCCTTACATAATTAGATATAACTTTTGGTTAAATTAGTTACTAGGATCTCATTATTTGATTATAAAGATATAGTTTCTTGCTAAGCCAGATTAATGAAATATAGAACATCATTTTGTGTGTTTTTTAAGTTAATAATTGCCTCATTTTTTAAATTGCCTGGCTTTCCGTATATTGGTTTTTTTCCTTAAATGCTGCACATCTCTGCCACATGCTGTCAATAATGTTTTTCATAGGCTCAAATACATCACTTCTTTATCCTGAAGACTCTTTTCTGAAGCCCTTCCCCCAGTTTCAATCTGGACTTACTTTCTAGGCTTGTTGGAACTTCCTGAGCTGCTCCTCTGTGTTGGGTCCTTGTTTTCCTGGATATCATATCTTTCTCATTTTTTGTTTACTCCAATGTTTTCTTGGAGTATATCTTCCAGTAGCTCTGCAAATAAGGGAACCTTGGTGGCAAAATTTTAAGTTACTATGTGACTGAAAAATACCTTTATTCTCCCCTCATGTGTGATTGCTAATTTCAATAGATACAGAATTCTAGTTGGAACTCTTTTTTCAATAATGAAGGCATTCCAACCTTTCTAGTTTAGTGTTGCTTTTAAAAATGTGCATATCATACTACAAGCCTGTAGTAATCAAAATAGTATGGTACTGGCATGAAAACAGATAGATAGATCAATGGAACAGAATAGAGAACCCAGAAATAAACCCATACCTATATGGTCAATTAATATTTGACAAAGGAGGCAAGAACATAGGTGTTGGGAAAATTGAACGTGCAAAGACAATTAAACTAGACAACCTTCTTATACCATATAAGGAAAGAAACTCAAAATAGATTAAAGGCTTAAATGTAAGATTTAAAACTATTAGAAGCAAACATAGGCAGTAAAACCTCTGACATTTCTCACAGCAATATTTTTTCTGATATATCTCCTAGGGCAAAGGAAACAAAATAAAAAATAAAAAAATGGGACCACATCAAATTAAAAAGTTTTTGCACAGCAAAGAAAACCATCATCAACAACAAAAAAGGCAACCTGTTGAATGGAAGAAGATATTTGCCAATGACACATCTGATAAGGGGTTAATATCCAAAATTTATAAAGAACTGATACAACTCAACACCAAAAAACAAATAGTCCAATTAAAAAATGGCAGAGGACCTGGATAGACACTTCTCCAAAGAGGATATACTGATGGCCAATAGACATATGAAAAGATGCTCAATATCACTAATCATTAGAGAAATGCAAATTAAAACCACAATGACATATAACCTCTGACATGTAACCCTATCAGAATGGCCATCATCAATAAATCAACAAGTGTTGGCAAGGATGTGGAGAAAAGGTAACACTTGTGCACTGTTGGTGGGAATGCAGATTGGTGGAGCCACTATGGAAAACAGTATAGAGGATCCTCAAAAAATTAAAAATGGAACTGCCTTATGACCCAAAACACTGATTCGAAAGAACATATGCACCCCTATATTCATTACAGAATTATTTACAATAGCCAAGATAAAGCAACACAGGTGCCCATCAATAGACACATGGATAAAAAAGAAGTGGTACATATATACAGTGGAATATTACTCAGCCATAAAAAAGAACAAAATCTTAACATTTGTGACAATATGGATGGACCCAGAGGGTATTATGCTAAGAGAAATAAATCAGAGGAAGACAAATACCATATGATTTTACTTAATGTGGAATATAAAAAACAAAATAAATGAACAAACAAAATTGAAACAGACTTATACAGGGGGAAATGGGGGTGGGGAGAGTTAGAAGAGGGTAAAGGGATAAATGGTGATGGAAGGAGACTTGACTTGGGTTGGTGAACACAATACAATATACAAATGATGTATTATAGAATTGTACACCTGAAACATAATTTTATTAACCAGTGTCACCCAGGTAAATTCAATTTTTTTAAAAAAAATGAAACAGACATACATGCAGAGAACAGACTGATGGTTGCCAAAAGAGAGGGGGTTGGGGGACTGGGTGGAAAAGGTGAAGAAATTAAGAAGTACAAATTGGTAGTTTCATAATAGTCACAGGGATGTAAAGTACAGTAAAGGGAACATAGTAATATTGAAATAACTCTGTATGCTTCCAGGTGGGTACTGGAAATATTGGGAAGACACTTTGTAAAGTATATTATTTACTTAACACTGTGCTATATACCTGAAACTAATACAAAATAATGTTGAATGTAAACTGTATTTCAAAAATAAAAAAATTTTTAAATGTTGATATCATCTGATTTCCCAGTCTTTGTTTAGGACCCGTTTCTCCCCCCCCGCCCCCCGCCCCATCTGTTTATCCCCAGTATTCTGAAATTTGATGATTATGTGCTTTTTATATTGAACCCTTTCACTCTAAAAATTGATGTTGTTTCATTCTTGGAAATTTTTTAAGTTATTTATTTGATAGTTTATTCCTCTGTGTTTTCTCTGTTATTTTTTCCCCCTTTCTTTAAATCTTTTATTGCAAGAGTCAGCAACTATGGCCCACAGGCCAAATCTGGCCTGCTATCTGCCCCATTTGTTTACACATTGTCTTTGGCTGCTTTCACACTGCAACGACAGAATTGAGTGGTTGCAACAGAGACCATATGGCCTGCAAAGCCTAATTATTTACTGTGTGGCCCTTTGCTGCAAAAGTTTGCTGATTTCTGCTCTATTGGATGTTAGGACTTTTGGATTACTTGTTTAATTTTCTCTTCTACTTTCTGGGAGATTTCCTCAGCTTTATCTTTAATTCTTTCTACTGAATTCTCTATATCTGCTATTGTATTTAATTTCCAAGAGCTTTTTCTTTTTTCATAGCATTTTGTTTTTGGATATAATAACTTCTGCACTTCTGAGACACTTAAGAGTCAATTGCCTGTCTGCTGGTGGATTTTACTTAAGGTGCTTGGCAGGCTGACATTTTCCTTGGAAAACCTCCAGATATCAGTATCCGGAGGTTGTTCTAGTTTAGTTTTCTAAAGAAGAATCCTCATTATCTCCATAGGGCAAGTAAATATTTATTTTTCTGTTATACAAGCAGGTTAGGTGAAGGCTGTTGGGCTTTCATATAAATGCCTTCATTTAGCCCTATGCTTGGTGTTTCTAAATCTAGAGCCTTTTTCTCCAAAGAATGTATCTCTGGTCCTCTTGCATTTCATAAAGGTTATCATAGCTTCAGTATAATGAATAGATTAGGATAGAATTAGGTGAATGCAAGAGGTCCTTCAGGAGAGGTTACAGAGATGGTGGAGGTAGAGAAAAACAGATTTGAGATCTAGATAAAAACTTGACTATATATATATGTCTGTATTTTACTGCTTGCTAACTAGTTTATAGGTCTAAAGATCAGGGACTATGTCCTTGCTATCTTTGTATCCTACTATATCTGGTACTCTGCAAGATTCAATGTTTATTGAATGGCCCTAAGCACCTTAATGTCAATGAGATTATTATGACTTGTATTTCTTACCATCTTTACTGTTTAATATCATTAAAAATCACTTATGATTTTCTTGAGATAATTGTTATTGTCAAAGTATTTGTTTACTGATTTAAAAATATATATTTACATTATTGATCTCCATCTGACACAAAAGATTTATGTGTGTCATTAGAGTAAGAGCTATCTTTTCACTTTAATTATAGTGTCTCCATTGGAAAGGAGTTCTTAATTTAAACATAGTCTAATTATGTTTTTTCTTATGGTTCATGCTTTTGGTATCTTGTTCAAGGAATGCTCTCTATCCTAAGATCAAAAAGATATTTTCCTATTGAATGTTTTAAATTTTATGCTTTTATGTATTTATTTTTTTGAAATTTATCTTTATTGTTGCAAGTATTACAGGTGCTCCACCCCATTTTGGTTGTCTTGTGTTATACAAAAATATAAAATGTGTATTTTTAAAAGCGTAGTCTTCCCTACCCCCACCCTAAATACTTAACATATAGTAACAATGCTAGCTGATAATAGAAGATTATGAAAAATATATCACATTTTTGCTTTGAAGGAACTCAGGTGAAAATTTACAGCCGAACCGGTTTGGCTCAGTGAATAGTTTAAAGCTTTAGTAAACAAGGGTCCCAGGTTCGATTCCGGTCAAGGGCATGTACCTGGGTTGTGGGCACATCCCTACTGGGG